TATGGAGATACCCATAGGTCCTCAAGGGCTATTACATGGAGGTACCCCTGGGCCTCTAGGGCTAATATATGGAGATACCCATAAGTCTTCAAGGGCTATTATATGGAAGTACCCCTGGGCTCTCAAGGGCTATTATATGCAGATACCTCTGGATCCCTCGGAGCTATTACATGGAAGTACCTCTGAGTCCTCCGGGACTATGTGATGGGGTACCCCTGGGTCCTCAAGGGCTATTCCTATGGGGGTACCTTTGGGTCCGCAGGAACTATCGTATGGGGGTACGTCTGGGTCCTCAAGGGCTATCCTATGCGAGTACCCATAGGTGCTCAAGGGCTATCCTATGAGGATACCCATACGTCCTCAAGGACTATTATAATGAGGAAGCCACAGGCCCTCAAGGGCTATTGTATTGTGGTACCCATAGGTCCACAAGGGCTATAAGGCTATAAGGGAGTAGGGAATAAGGAGATAAGGATATAAGAGTAAAGGGGATAAGAGGCTAAGGCTACATGGGCATAAGAGATAAAGCTAAAAGAGTATAAGGGGATAAGGGTATATGGTATAAATGGACAAGGCTGGAAAGGATATAAGGGTTAAGGAAATAACGGAATAAGGCTAAAAGAAGTACTACAACAAGAGTATGAGTCTACAAGGGTATCAGGCTGTACGATCTCTATATGTATATATAATGGGAACTGGGTTTTTGTCTATTTTCCAATCAAGGCTAAAGGACAGAAGTGAAACTTCACAGGAAAAAAAGCATCCGTGCAGTATGTACGGGCTCTCGCTAGTTCGATATAAAAGACACTTTCATTTACGATAAAATCCGAGTTCATCGCAATTTTTCACATTACCAGTTAAATTTTAGTTAGTTTTAGTAAAACTAAGGATTCTTATACAAAATATTTGAAAAAAATCAACAATGTTTTGTTTTCAACATTGAGAAAAACCAGATTCTAAACAAGTTCATAAGTAAAAAGCTTTTGTAATTGAGAGCAGTTCAATACTATGTAAACAAATGAGAAGGACTCATTTCAATGAAGTCGATGTTTATTTCTACTTCATACTTTTGTTTTCATTTCAGTACCACTACGTGCAAGTTCCACTGATATTCGTCCGAATGCAAAATGGGCACAGAATGGTATCACTGTTGCTGGAGGAAATGCATGGGGCAGTGAAACCAATCAACTCGCCGACCCATGGAGTTTGTACGTCGACGATGATCAAACGATTTATGTCGCTGATTGCTGGAATCACCGAATTGTGGAATGGAAATCTGGTGCAACGAATGGAAAAGTAGTTGCTGGTGGAAATGGATATAGAATTGGAGCACGTCAATTAAGTCGCCCATTAGATGTGATTATCGACAAAGAGAGCGATAGTCTCATCATCAGCGATGGAGGGAATAACAGAGTAGTTCGATGGCCTCGTCGAAATGGTACTAGTGGAGAAACAATTGTTTCGAATATCGCTTGTTGGGGTTTGACAATGGACGACAATGGATCTCTCTA